CCATTACTCCTACTGTTACTGCTACTGCTGCTACCACCGCTACTACCACTACGACTACTACTACTACTACTACCACTACTACTACTACTACTACTACTACTACTACTACTACTACTACTACTACCTACTACTACTACTACTACTACTACTACTACTACTACTACTACTACTACTACTACTACTACTACTACTACTACTACTACTACTACTACTACTACTACTACTACTACTACTACTACTACTACTACAACTACTACCACTACTACTACTACTACTACTACTACTACTACTACTACTACTACTACTACTACTACTACTACTACTACTACTACTACGACGACTACTACTACTACTACTACTACTACTACTACTACTACTACTACTACTATTACTACTACTACTACTACTTACTACTACTACTCTACTACTAGTTCTACGACTATTACTACGACTACAACTACTGCGACTACTACTACTACTACGACTACTACTACTACTACTACTACTAGCAGTGGTAGTAGTAGTAGTAGTAGTAGTAGTAGTAGTAGTAGTAGTAGTACTAGTACTAGCACTAGTACTAGTAGTAGAAGCAGAGGTAGTAGTAGTAGTCGTCGTACTTGTAGTAGTAGTAGTAATAGTTGCAGTAGTAGTAGTCGTCGTAGTAGTAGTAGCAGTAGTGGAAGTCGTAATGCTCGTAGGAGTAGGAGTAGTAGTAGTAGTAGTAGTAGGAATAGTACTAGTAGTAGTAGTAGTAGTAGTAGTAGTAGTAGTAGTAATAGTACTAGTAGTAGTAGTAGTAGTAGTAGTAGTAGTAGTGGTGGTAGTAGTAGTAGTAGTAGTCGTAGTCGAAGTCGTAGTCGTCGTTGTCATAGCAGTAGTAGTAGTAGTAGTTGTTGTTGTTGTTGTTGTTGTAGTATGTCTTGTTGTGGTAGTAGTAGTAGTAGTAGTAGTAGTAGTAGTAGTAGTAGTAGTAGCAGTAGCAGTAGCAGTAGCAGTAGCAGTAGCAGTAGCAGTAGTAGTAGTCGTCGTCGTCTTTGTGGTGGTAGTAGTAGTAGTAGTAGGAGTCGGTGTCGTCGTGATAACAGTTGAAGGGGAGGAGATGAGGGACCAGGAGAAGGGAGGCAGAAGGGAGGAAGAGAACGATCAGAGGAAGGTAGCAGAAGAAGGTGATGGGCAAGCAGAGAGAGTAGGCGCTACCCCTCCCACGTCCTCCTCGCCTCCACTGGCAGACAAAAAGTTTCGCGTGGCCCCACTTTCTCGTTGCCTTGGTCTTCCTCCGCCCCCTTCGCCCAGGTCTCGCTTCGCCCAGGAGTCGGTTCGCCCAGGTCTCGGTTCGCCCGGGCCCCGACCGACAGATTGATTTCTGTCAGCCCGCGAGCCCCAGGGTGGATCGACCCCTTCCCCAGGCCGGCTTTCCGCCCCAGGCGCAAATTTTGACAGGCCGTCCGCCTGACAACGGCCCCAGATTGAGAAATCCACTCCGCCCGAGGTCTGGGTCTCGGCAGGCCCTTTCCCCCTTGTGGCAATCCCCCCAGGAGGGGAAAGAGGAGAGGAGAAGGAGGATAATGGAGGGAGGACGAGAGTAAACCCAAGATGCACCAGCGATGTTGTAATAGACCCTTCCGTCCAGACTCCCCCCCTCCTACGTCCCTACGAGCTCTCCCTCTCACTACTGGACGCGCCCCCTTTGAAACACGAGCACCCTATGGGCCCGTCATTCAGGCGAGCGCCCCGTTTCGAAAAAGGGAAGTGCTTTGCATCACATTGGCGAGGAGGAGGAGGAGGAGGAGAGCAGTCAGGCTCAGCGAGCTGTCCAGCGAGAGACCCGCCTCGAGAAGGATCTCCGCCGCCCCCTCCGTGCAGCTGCTGCGCAGGCTCAAGCCTGTGGGTCGCTGCGTTTGCGGACGTCGCCACGCGAGACCCCGTGTTAAGAAGGAACCGGCCTCCATCTGCGCGGCTCGCCCGTGATGCTGCATTTAGGCTCAGCCCGCTATGCCACCAAGGGTACATCTGGGGCAGGCAGAGTCCCAGAGAGCCACCAAAGCTAGCGCTCACGACGAAAACATCATCACCAACAACAACAACAACAACAACAACAACAACAACCTCCATCTGCGCGGCTGCTACATTCGTGCAGGCCTCGGACGGCCAGATTCGAGCAGGTCCCAGGCGAGAGTTCCATTGTTGGAAAACGAACCGTTCTTCCCGTGGGTGCAGCTGCTGCACGCGATGACCACTGTGGTAAATCTGCGCCGGGGAGCTGCAAGGCGAGATTTTCCAGCTGCGAAGACGAGGTTGCCTTCAGCCATGTAAGCATGGCGCAGTGTAATACGTGATGACATGCGTCTGGAGGAGTATCAAGCGAGAGCCCCATTCTGAAAAAAACAGGGTCCGTCCGTGCAACGAATGCAACTCGATAATGACGAATGGGCGCGACGCGAAACCAAGCGCACCATTTTGAAAAGGACCGCCCCCCACTCAACCCGTGCAATTGCTGGAGAGCTGCAGCTTCGGGAAAGTGATGCGTGAAGAAGTCTGGAGCGGAACTCCCAGCCTGGCGCGCGGACACGTCTGGTGGTGCGACGGTGAGGAGTTGATTATGATTATAAGTAGAAGAGGTGAAGGGGAAAGGATGAGGAGAAAGAAGTAGGATGACGAGGAGGAAGGGGAAAGGATGAGGTGAAGGGGAAAGGATGAGGAGGAGGAAGGGGAAAGGATGAGGAGAAAGAGTTAATTATGATTTTAAGTGAAAGGATGAGGATGACGAAGTAGGGGAGTGAGGAAGAGGAGGCGGGGGACGAAGGGGAGGAGGAGTGAGAAAGGACGAGGGCAGGGGCGGAGGAGTCGGAACAGAAAACAAAAAACCCGACAAGAGAAAAAGACGGGGAGGAGCAGGAGGAGCAGGAGCAGGAGCAGGAGGAGGAGGAGCAGGAGGATCGAAGAGGGAGGAGGAGCATCGAGGAGGGAGGAGGAGGACCGAGGAGGAGGAGAAGGGGGAGGAGGACCGAGGAGGAGGAGGAGGAGGGCGATCGTTCCGGAGGAGAGCCCGCCTTCCGGCAGCACCCCCCGCCGCGCGGGGGCAGGCATTGGCCTCCAGGCTGCGGTGGGCCACCCCGGGCACCCCGCCGCGGGCGGCGCCGCGGGGCGGCACGGGGCCCGGCGGCTGCTCGCGGGAGGGCCGCGGGGGCTCGGGAGCGGCCGAGGGGATGATGACGACAGTCGGACCGAGGAGGGGAACAAGAAGTGACACAGACATAAAACCTCGGAGGTCCGCGCGGATTTCTCGGATCGGCGCTGGACCCCCCTCCCTGGCGCGCGGAGCGCGCCAGGGGCGGCGCCAGAGGCGCCGCAGGGGGGCCCCAGCGCCGATCCGAGAAATCCGCGCGGACCTCCGAGTTTTTATGTTTATGTCACTTTTTGTTCCCCTACCGAGGTATATGAGATCCTAGGCCTCCTAGATGGGGTCGGAGCAAATGGGGTCGGAGGATGGCGCCGCATCGCCGATGCATCGCCGATGCAGCTCGACGAGGAGCCCGATCTCTTTCGCGCGAACGTCGCCGATGCATCGCCGACGTCGCCGGTGCATCGCCGATGCATCGCCGATGCGGCGCGATCCTCCGACCCCATCTACTCCGACCCCATCTAGGAGGCATCTAGAGATCGAGGTCGGTTTGGGGAGGGTAGCCCTGATGTTCTGCGGGTCTGTTTGCTGTTCTCGTGCATCCCGGGGGGGGGATGCCCTCGAACGATCTGGAGGCTGTTCTCCGAAGAGGCTTGCCCACAGGAGTCCTGGCGCTTCATTCCTACACGCGTCCTCTGTTTCGAATGGCTTCCCCCGCCATCCACAGGGTTGTCTATGTTGCTCCTACACGCGTCCTCTGCTGCGCATGCTTTCCTCTGCTGGTGTCCTCTGTTGCGCATGGATTCCTCTGTTGCGCATGGTTTCCTCTGCTACCAGCATGGCTTCCTCTGTATCCGCATTGCTTCCCCTGGCATCCGCGTAGCTTCCTCTGTATCTGCATGGCTTCCCCTGCTATTCTAATGGCGTCCTGTGGCTGTTCCAATGGCGTCCCAACAATCGTCAAACAATCGTCAAACTCAGAAATAGAGTAAAGTAGAGTAGAGCACAGAAAAAAAACAGAGTAGAGTAGAGCAGGATAGAGGAGAGAAGATCAGAGTAGAGTAGAGCAGTGTAGATGGTAGACTAAAGCCGAATAGAGTAGAGTAGATAACAGTAGGGCAAACTCAATAGTAGAGTAGGGTTGGGTAGGGTAGAGTAGAGTAGGATAGAGTAGAGCAGAGAAGAGTAGAGCATGGCAAAAAAACAGAGTAGATCTGAAGAGAGTAGAGGCGAGGAGAAGAGCGAAGGGGAGATGAGAAAATGAATAGAGTAGAGTAGAATAGAGTAGACTAGAGTAGAGTAGGAGTGGAGCAGAGAAGGAGTAGAGCAGAGTAGGAGTAGAGTAAAGTGGAGTAGGAGTATAGCAGCGTAGAGTAAAGAAGGGTAGAGTAGAGTAGGATCGAGTAGAGCATAGCAGAGTATAGTAGGGTATATAGTAGAGTGGAGTCGGCTAGAATGGAGTAGCTAGAGTCGAGCTCGGTAGGATAGAGTAGATGAGGGTATAGTGGAATAGAGGAGGCTCGCTGTAGAGAAAAGTGAAGCAGGTGTAGAGTAGAGTAGAGTAGTCCAGAGTAGAGTAGAGTAGTTTAGGGCAGGGTGGGAGTAGAGCAGAGTAGAGCAGAGCAGAGCGGAGTAGGGTAGATAGTAGAGTGGAGTCGGGTAGAGCCGATTAGAGTAGAGTAGGACAGGGTACCTCTGAGTAGAATGGAGGAAAGGAAAGTAGAGTAGAGTAGAGTAGAGTAGAGTAGAGTAGGGTCGAGTAGAGTAGAGTAGGGTGAATGGTAAAGTAGAGTCGGATGGCATGTAGGAGCATAGATTAGCGTAGGGCAAAGTAGAGGAGAGGAGAGGACAGGAAGAGATAGGGTATCAGAGGGGAGGAGAGTCGGAATAGAGTGTAGTACGGTAGGAGTGGAGCAGAGTAGATCAGAGCAGAGTCGAGTAGAGTAGAGTCGAGTTCGGCAGGGTAGGTCGTGCACAGTAGAGTGGAGCCGAGTAGAGCAAAGAAGGGTAGAGTAGGTAGATGGTAGAGCAGAGTCGGGTAGAGTCGAGTAATTCGGGTAGAGCAGAGTAGAGGAGAGTACATTAGAGCAGGGAGGGAAGGAGGAGAGAAAAGCAGAGGAGAAGAGTCGCGTAAAGTAGAGCACAATATCCAGCGACCGTGCCTGGGTTGTGCGTATGAAGCCAGCCTATTGGATGTTCGTTGGGATCTCGTGGGGGGCCTCTCGGGGGCCTCTTGGAGGCAGTTTTGAAGCCTCTTTGATGGATCCGTTTTGGGGCCTCTTGGGGGCCTCTTGAGAGCCACTTTGGGGGCCTCTTGGGAGCCTTTTGGGACCCCTTGGGCGCCTCTTGCGGTCTCCTGGGGGCCTATTGGAACGGAAGGCTCGGATTTTCGGTTCGCGATCCCTCTCTTGGCGCGAGAAAAGGGCACGGGCGGCAGCGTTTTTCGGTCGTTGCTGGCACCCGGGGAGCACTCACCAGCCTGGCGACCGTCGAGAAGCGATTCGGGATGGAGATTGATAGACCTCCTACCCTGACACGTCGATTAGCGAATTGGCCGTTTTCGGTTCGCGAGAGGGCGCCGCGGCCGTCATTTTTGCGGGTCCAGGTCCGTCGGTTTCGGTCCCAGGCCGTTTTCATTAAAGGGTGGTTTATCAAAGGGAGGTTTGTCCACCGTCGATTCGGGATGGAGAGTTGTTTGGGGGCCCCCTAACGGGGTGGTGACCACACCGTGTGGTGAGTCGGTGGGGAATCGGGGTCACCGCACGGTTTTGGGGCTCAGGTCGTCCTCCGAGGACGTCTCGGGCGACCGGGGCATCTGAGGTCCCAAGACCGTGCGGTGGCGGACCGTGTGGTGAGGTCTTGGGGGATTTCGAGGTCACCGCACGGCCTGTCCCCGCACCGTTTCGGGACTCCAAAGATGTTCCTGCGGAAGTGGGCTCAAGTTCCAGGGGGCCCACATCGCCAGAGAGCTGGGTTCTTCCTCCTTTTCCTCCCCCCCCCTCCTCCCACAGTTTTTCCCTGCGGACAGCTCTCCTTTCACACACCACCAAGCGTGACGAAAGGGCGGTCTCGGCATTTCGCCTGACACGCCTTCACTGACTACGATCCTGGAGTTTAAACATGTTTCCGACATTCACTCGCATCGTGGGCGGCTGATTTCATAATGGGGCTATCGCCTTGGCGCCGCGCACGTCCGTTTCAAAATGGGGGTTATCACCTCAGACTTCGCCGCAGGTTGACACCATGCGTTCAAAATTCTGCAGCAGCAACAACGATGGAAGGAGAATTCTTTTCATCACGGGGCTCTCGCTGCTGACGTCCTAACGTCTCAGTGCCAGACAGTGGAAATTTCACAACGGCTACAAGAGTGGAGGGCGATGCCTTTTCGGCTCTCGTTTGCGACGTCCTCGCGCTCCATTGCCAGACGTTCACAGCTGTGGGACGGACAAGCGGGTGGAGGACCATTCCTTTTGTAAACGGGGCTCTCGCCTGAAATCCCATTTGATCTTATGACCAGAAGCTTTACATCGTGCAGCCGCTACACGGGTGGAGGTCGTTCTTGTGTTGACAGCGGAGTTGTCGTTGGACATGTTCTCAAATTGTATGTATGGCCCGACCTCGTCACACTCCTTGTAGCTCGGAGGCCGTAAGGCAGCTTCTTTTCGAAGCGAGACCCCCGCCTGAAAGTTGCGGTCCCATCGGGCATTCGTCGTTCAAGTGGGCGGCGTCCCGCAGCGAAGGCATGCCTGTCTGGCCTTGTGAAGAAGGGACCTCGGACACAGAGGTGCACTGCAGCATCGTCGATACATCTTGAGGTTACTTTCAGCATCCTTCTCCTCCTTCCGTAGACATTTTGGCTCTAGGCATTTTTGGTTCAGGACGCCCCACGAGAATATGACCTGCACTGACCGCCATGCCGCCATCTCAGCAAGCGGTGGGCACGCTGCGGAGAGGAGGGGCGATGGTATGGGCCCTGGTGGTATTAGTCGACGACGTGGCGTTCGCGCAGCACCACGGCGCCAAGTTGGTGAACCAGTCCGAGCACGCGGAGCCGGGCACCAACACCGCGGATCTGCACCGAGACAGGACGGCAAACGACAGGTCCAAGCTCGAGCAGCACTCGAGGGACCACGAGGCCGCAACGGAGTTCAGCCTCGTGGACGAGGCCGGGCGGGACGTGCTCCTGGAGGCGGCGGCCGTCCACGTGTCGACCGAAGGGTACCGGCCGTCGGGCAGCGTGCTGGTGCTCCGCTTCCAGTCGCACAACATGACCTTCAAGTACAAACTGTACCGCAAGGCCGCGGCGCCCTCAGGCGGCAGAGTCGTCGTGCAGGGCAAGGACGGCAAGACGGAGCGTGCTCTCAACCAGGCTGCTGTCTTCAGGAGCCCCGGCCGAGACGCAGTGTTGACCACGGTGGGGCAGAGCTTTACGGGCACCGTGTGGGTCGGATCCAGGGTGTTTGACATTCGGCACAGGCACGGTAGCAGCACTCTGGAGGTGAGGCGTTTCGATGCCAAGCCGTCCGCCGAGACAGGGGTGGGCAGTCTGCGTCCCAACGGCTCATCGAAGGAGCCCGCCGTGGACAGGCGCTTGTCGATTCTTAATCCCAGCGCGATCGACCAGTGGACCGGCTGCTATCCTGGAGAGGAGACCATGCGCACCTTCAAGTTCGGCGCAGTTATCACTTCCAACGTTTGGATAAACGAGAATTTCCAGACCGATCTAGAGGCAGAGGATTGGATCCACGCCATGGTCGAAAATGCGAATATGGCGTACGAGCCTCAGCTCAACATCAACTTGCAGCTGGGGAGCCTCTACATTCAGAAGACTCACGACGGCGCTCCGGGCTGGGACCAAGGCCCATCGTGTCCGATGGACCTCAATGCCCAGTTGTGGCAGATGGTTCTATGGGAGCCAACAGCTCCGGACACCACCATGGGCGTGTGGCATATTTTCGACGATTGCTATCAGCAGGCGTATAACGGTGGAAGTGGCCTCATCGGCCTTGCGTACATCGGGGTATTGTGCTATGATTGGGGCTACAACGTGGGAGCCAATTGGATAAGCCACCCCCCTTACACAAATCCCACTTGGCATATATTCGCACATGAGATGGGACATAACTTCGGAGCCCAACACTCGTTCGAGCAGGGCCAAGGAACTACAGGCGGCATCATGGATTATGGCGATGGGACGATCAACGGCGTCTATCGGTTCAACGACCTCCGCTTTTCTGACATCTGCACTCAGCTCACCAGCCAAGTCAACACCTGTTCGGGCTTCTCGACTTTCGAGGCCGTCTGCGGCAACGGCGTCACAGAGCCAGGCGAGGGCTGCGAGTGCAGCGACAGGTCGCAGGCTTGCGACGGGTGCTGCAGCTGCCAGCTTGACGCGCGAATTGGTGCTCCCGCGGAGCCCATGCAGTGCTCGCCTGACGCCATCGGCCACGGTGGCTGCTGCAACGAGCGGGGCATGTTCGAGGACGTCGGCACCGAGTGCACGCTGGCAGAAGTACGCGGCTACTGCAACCAGGGCGCGTGCGTCACCAACCACGTCTGCGCATACAGCGGCATGTTCGAAGGCTTCTGCGGGCTCGAGGCGGACGGCTGCAAGATCAAGTGCGCCCAGGCTGGAGACGGCACGTGCCTCAGTCTCCGCAATTGGGAAGTGAACGGCCAGCCCATCAACAACGTCCCGGATGGAACGCCTTGCACGGAGAGCGGCTACGTCGGCAAGTGCAACGCTGGCGATTGCAAGCTCCCTATGGAGGTGAGCATCTCAGGTGATGCGACGACTGGTTCTCCAGCGCAACTCAATCCCCGCTCGACAGCCGCCGACTTCCGCGGGTGCGTGGGGTTCGCCGACCGTGGTTTCCTCGGCCATGCAGACGTAGCAGTGTTCCTCACAGGGAAAACTCTCACTCAATGCAATCATGAGTGCCAGAATTGGTGGCAGTGCCACTCTTTTGTTCACAGGGCGGACACGGGTTTCTGCGAGCTGTGGTCAATCAAGAATTTAGCGGAGGATTTGGCGGTGGTGCCGGGCTACGACACTTACATATGTGATGCCTACGCTGCTGGCTTAGATTTCCTCGACGCCGACTGCGACGAGAACGCTGACGCAGTCGCACCAGGCATCCCTGCTCTGGAGCGCAGCGCGGACAACGGGCACACCCGGGGCACCTGCTACAACACGTGCAAGGCAGACCTTGGTTGCCACATGTTCGTCTTCGTCGAAGGGACCGGCAGTTGCCAGCTATACCCCTCCGAGGTCTCTGAAGCTAATTTGGTGTACAGGGACCCCAGCGAGGGCTACATCACATGCACATTGCCGTGCCATGGCAGTGGCAAGATTTGCCCATGCCGCGAGAGCCCTTCCTCCAAGATCCGGGTGCCGTGCCAGTGCGATGCGGCCACCAGCCCCTTCGAGAATGAGTGCGACATCAACCAGTACTGCTACGACGGAACATGCGCCGACTCCCCGCAGCGTCGGCTGTCAAGCTTCTGCGCGCCGGCTCCGCCACCTACCCCAGCCTCCGTGACAGCCGCGCCAACACCAGCACCCACCAGCTCGCCGAGCCCCGCGCCGACCACCGCGCCGAGCCCCGCGCCGACCAGCTCGCCGACCCCTGCGCCGAGCCCCGCGCCGACCACCGCGCCGAGCCCCGCGCCGACCAGCTCGCCGACCCCTGCGCCGAGCCCCGCGCCGACCACCGCGCCGAGCCCCGCGCCGACCAGCTCGCCGACCCCCACGCCAACCAGCTCGCCAGGTCCCGTACAGACCAGCTCGCCGACCTTCGCGCCGACCAGCTCGCCGACCCCCGCACCGACCACCTCGCTGACCCCCGCGCCGACCCGCTCGCCGACCTTCGCGCCGACCGGCTCGCCAACGCCAGCACCGCCTCCGACTTCAGCACCAACGCCAGCGCCGACGCCAAAACCTGTTTACGCCATGGTCTACAGCACGGGAAAGTGCCAGGGGACTGGGGCCATGACCACGGCTGGGAGCCTCGAGGAATGCGCCATTCTCTGCGACGCAACATTGAACTGCCAATTCTTGAGCTACTCTGTTGGTTCTGGTGGGTGTAAGCTGTCTGAGGACTGCGACAGCGTGGGCTTAGACACCAGCTACAGCGTGTACCAGCTTGGCGCGACCCCAGCTCCAACTGCGTCACCAACTCCACTGACGTGGGGCATATACGGCACCGGAAAGTGCAAGGGCACCGGGACGACAGATCTTTCCGGATTGACCGTCGATGATTGTGCCAGCTTGTGTGCTCAGGTGAATGGCTGCCAGTTCTTCAGCCATTCTTCGACGGAGTGCAAGGTGAGTGCCGACTGTGACAGCGTTAATGCATTCCTATCGCCCTTCACAATCTACCAGCTGTATTTGACCATGGCGCCAACATTCGCGCCTGGTGTCCCGACACCTGCGCCCACCCCGGTGACGTATGGGATATACGACACAGGAAAGTGTAAAGGCACCGGGACGACGGACAGTTCAGGATTGACCGTCGATGGGTGCGGCACTTTGTGCGCGCAGTCGATCAGTTGCCAGTTCTTCAGTCATTCTTCGACAGAGTGCAAGCTGAGTGACACATGTGGCAGTATCAACTCGTTCGAGACGGACTTCACGATCTACCACTTGGCATTGACCCTGGCGCCCACGTTCGCGCCTGGGGTCCCGACACCTGCGCCCACCCCGGTGACGTATGGGATGTACGACACAGGAAAGTGCAAAGGCACCGGAACGACGGACAGCTCAGGATTGACCGTCGATGGGTGCGGCAGTTTGTGCGCGCAGTCGATCGGTTGCCAGTTCTTCAGTCACTCCTCGACAGAGTGCAAGCTGAGTGACACATGTGGCAGTATCAACTCGTTCGAGACGGACTTCACGATCTACCACTTGGCATTGACCCTGGCGCCCACGTTCGCGCCTGGTGTCCCGACACATGCGCCCACCCCGGTGACGTATGGGATATACGACACAGGAAAGTGTAAGGGCACCGGGACGACGGACAGCTCAGGATTGACCGTCGATGGGTGCGGCAGTTTGTGCGCGCAGTCGATCGGCTGCCAGTTCTTCAGCCATTCCTCGACAGAGTGCAAGCTGAGCGACAGCTGTGGAAGCATCAACTCGTTCGAGGCGGACTTCACGATCTACCACTTGGCATTGACCCTGGCGCCCACGTTCGCGCCTGGGGTCCCGACGCCTGCGCCCACCCCTGTGTCCTACACGCAGACGCACTCGACTGGGATGTGCAAAGGAACGCCGTTGTCATTTCCCATCGTGGCGGACCTTCAGGCGTGCGGAACCGCCTGCTCTGCTCAGTCGGGCTGCGAGTACTTCAGCTTCGCGAGCGCCACCGGAGCCTGCAAGCTCACCTCCTCGTGCAACAGGAATAAGTGGATGACGGATTACGCGATCTACCAGCTGAGCGCGCGGTGAGCTTGAGTGCTAGCCTGGCGTTTTAACAGCAGTCGAGTCATCATTCTCACCACCATTCTCGGCCTCGCGCTTCAGTAGCAGTCAGGAGTTGCTCACATGCCTGCCGTTTTTCCGCTCTCTGCCAGCACAGAGTCACCAATTTCCTCGAACGGTGCCTGAGTTACTGGGTTCTTGCTGGTTTCCCTCACTGCGAAGTTCGCTGGTTTGCTGGGAGTTCGGCCGGTGCCCGTCCGTCGCTGCCTTGTACGCGCCGGCCGAGGTTGCCGCCGGTTTTCGCCTGGCTCCCGCATGCGCTGCCTTGTCGCCGCTAAGCGCGTCAGCTGGGCCTGGTTCGGTTTCGGCCAGGGCCCGCCCGTCGTTGCATCGTCGCCGCCCCGTGCGCTGGCTGGGTTTTTCCCGGCAGCTTTCGCCCGGCGCCCGCTTGGCGCCGCCTCGCCGCTGCCCTGAGGCCGCACCCCGCAGACTCTTGTCCGTGCTGTGCGTTACAGCGCCGCCGCGTAGTGCAGACATCCAGACATCAATAGCTCCCCGTTCGGGGGGCACGCTGGCAATCCTTGGCTTTTCGTACTTCCTTGCCCCCATTGATGCTTATAGATGTATCCGAACAGCTGCAGTATGTTTCCATTTCGGCATTTCCCAACGCTAGACGCAAATGGTCGAAGTGACGTCGACGGGTGTCCGGGTTTGCGACATGCGGTTTTCCCGTCGCCTCGATTTGCTAGACAATATTCGATGATGCGCTGTTTTTATCACATGGCAGGCTCGTCGGCAGCCCTGGCTGGCCACGGCGTTGCCCTCCCTCTGTCTGTCCGTGCTTCCTTCCAGGCCTGACACAGACAACAATAAGACGCACGAGGCGGGCGCGCCCGTCTTGCCCTCCGGTGTGCGCAGAGTGCGCCTCTCGACGATTCGTTGATCCAAAGCAGAGAGCACCTGGCATCCGTCAGAGCTGGTCGCCTACCTTTTTTCCCCGTCTTGCCAGAGGGATGTTGTGCGGGCAGTCTTGGCAACGTCCAAGCGGCTGTACGCAGACCCGTCAGAGCGATGGTTTCGTTGCGGCCAGAGAACGCATCATCGTCAGCTCCTCCTCCTCATCCTCCTCCTCATGCTTCTTCTTCTTCTCCCTCATCCTACCTCCTCCTCCTCTACACCCTCGTCTTCCTCTTCTTCCGCCACTGTCTCCTGTCTCGTAGTCTGTCGCCTCGCTCTTGCCGTATCTTTGGCTAGACTGGCCCACCCCAGGTTTGCCGTTTCTCGTCTTTCTCTTCCTAGATTGCCGTGTCCTTCTTTAGTCCTACCCTTCCCCCGCTGGTCAGTGTCCCTCCTCCCTCCCCCCCCCCTGTGCTTCGTGATGGAGGGAGGGGAGCGGCAGAAGAGCAGGAGGATAGGGGAGGATTGAGAGGCAAAATTGCGCCAGCTGTTGTTCCTCAATTTCGGGCCTCGAGACCGCCAAACATAGATCCAGGTTGTTTGGCCCTGGGAGGGGCCCAAGGAACGAATCTCAGCGGATCGGGGGGGAGAGGTTCCCAGAAACCAAGAGAGAGAGAGAGAGAAGAAAAACAAAACAGAACATCCACCAGAAATCGAGGAGGAGGAAGAGGAGGAGCAGCAGCAGCAGCAGGGAGGAGGGAGGAGAGAAGAGAGAGGGTCGGGGACGAGATGGAGGGGGTGCAGGGCTCCGCGGTCCTGACGCAGAGATCGGCGTGGCAGCCAAGAGGCATCGACGAGGCGACCCCTGGGGGGGAGGGACGGGCGGCAAGCTGGCTTCAAGGGAGGCTCTCCTTCCCAGACCATGTCTTGTCGTGGAGAAATCACGACGGGAGGTTTGCAGCCGCTTCCTGCCTGCAGGGGCTCCCCTCTGGGCTCCGGGGCCGGCAAGAATGGATCGGAGTGCGAAGTTGGTCCCATGGGAAGGGGTCTAGACCTCTGGGGGTCCACGTTGTAAAACCGACACGACGTCAACGATCTGGGGAGAGCTGGGGAGGTATCCCTTTTGGCTGTTACCCAATGGTTGTCGCAGCCGTATGGGTCACGCTGCGCTTTTGCGAGAATGGGCCGCGGACTGGCAAATTGTGCACCTACGCAGTGGGTGTCACCTCTTCTTGAAAAAAGTCTTGGCAAAACAATCCAGGTTTATCCTTGCTCCCGGAGCCCAGGGGGGCGCCCCTGGGCACCATCAGAAAAGATGCCGGATGAAAAGCCGGTCCCCAGAAAGGTGGTTCGATCAAAAGTAAAGTTTTAGTGAATGGGTTCTTCACACGCTCTGGCGGCGATGACTTTATGCTCGGCCAAGACTTTGCGACCTTGGCTGTATCCTTGCTTGCTCAGCGAGTTCGAGCAAAAACATTATTATTACATATAGAGAGATGTTTTGCCTCCCGTCAACGCTGTGGCACTGATGCCGAAAAGACAATTCAGGACAATGCATCCACCAACCAACCCCAACCAACCAACCACTATCGAGTCGCAGCGCATACAATGCGCAAGCCGCAGCCCCCTGCAGTTACAGAGCTGGTACGCAGTCGCAGTCCGCCCTTGCCTCCAGGGGCCACGCACGAAGGCGGAGGTTCGGGGCCAGCGGAGGAGGAGGAGGGAGGAGAGAGGTGGGAGGAGAAAGAGGAGGAGGAGGCGGAGGAGGAGAAGGAGGAGGAGGAGGAGGCGGATCGAGGACAAAGATGTTCGGACGCTCTCGGCCCCCTGTCTAGGCCCCCAGAGCCTCCAGGGACGTCCGGAGGCCAGCGGGGACCCCATTGGAGCTGCAGAGACCTCCGGACGGGATGGGAGGAGGAGGAGGAGGAGGAGGAGGAGCAGGAAGATTCCGTCCCTTCCCCTTCCTCCCCCCCATCCCAGTCCCTCCTTTCCGTCCCCTCCCCCATCGGCTCCCTCCCTTTCTCCTCGCCCTCGCTCCTGCGCTGGACGACTGTCCGCCGCATCGCTCGAGCGCCAGTCGGTTGATCGTGCTTGCTGTTTTGATCTCGACCTTGATGGCAGCTAACGGGCGTGCGAAGAGTAGGCGGAGGACGACGCACGTAAGCTTGTCGCGGTGCCGCGACGCTTTCCTCGCTGGCTGGCTGCCAGAAGGTCGGATCCGTTCACGGTGAATTGCCGATGGTGTGGCCAGGTGGTTCACTCCATGGCATGGCGAGGCCAGTCTCTCCTGTGGTTCAGGCTGTCGCTAGCACTACTCTTCAGAAGACAATTTGATGGTCTTCTACAGAGTATTCAGGCAGGTTTGAGGGGACCGAGTGCAGGGTCTGAGCCCCGACAGGTTGAGGGGCCCGAGGGCAGAGTTCGAGCCCTGACAGGACTGGAAGAACAAATACCGAGTCGATGATCAACGAAATAGAGCAGGCCCTGCGCTCTGCTGGAACGTTGCATGCGTAGTCAGGCCATGGTGATGTAGAAAGCCAGAGCCGTCAAGCTCCCAGGCCAGTCTACACACTGGATGTCTCCGCGTGTTGTTGCGATGAGGCAGGCCTTCGCGACATCGATCCAGGAGCATGAACGCTTGCCAATTCGTCGATTCCTGGCACCATCATCCCCGACTTGTGTAGTAGGGCGTCCTTTCCATGCTTCCATGCCACCTGCCCCTTTGTGTGCAGAGCAGCCTTGACTACCATAGGCGGGGATCCGTCGCCTGTCGGAGTCCATGAGGCATGGTTCCCCAGCCTGGGGTCTGGGGTCTGGGTCTGGATAGAGGCAGTCTCACCAGATTTGTCGGCGAGTTCCTGGGCGGTCATGCTGACCTCCTGCAGCCCAGTTCACCGACGGCGATGCTTGCTGCGCTGGTGAAGGTGCTGCCGCCGGCAGGGGCTTCGCGCGCCAGGAGCCCTCCGAGCACCACGCTCGTGGCAACCTGTGCCCCCGCAGGTGAGCAGGTAGCCCACATGGGGCCATTCCGACGCGGACGGGTGACTGCAGAGGGCGTCTCTGTGTTGGTGAGCACGAGGGAGGGGTTCGCAGGAGGGGGGTCAGGAGCTGGAACGCAAGCGGGCGGACCCTACCGTGCGCGTCGAGCGGGCCGGCCCAGGCGGGCCCGGTCGACCGGGCGGGTCGCCGAAGCCTCCGGTTTCCAGGAGTCGCGCGAGGAAGTTTCCAGCGATGGCGCGATTCTTGAGTGAATCGTGAGGGAGTCCAGAGCGAGAATCTGATTCTTGTTGGGAGCGTGGCGTCTCAATACATTACGAGGGGGTACCACGCGTGAGCGCGAGTCCTGGATAAACTGCGAGGACGTCACGCGTGAGAGCGCGATTTTGAATAAACTGTCAGGAAGTACCAGGCAGGAGCCGTTGTTGCTGTAGTCAGGTGGCCAATCTGAGCTTCAATACTCCCCCTTGTAAAAACAGGGTGCGGGCCCAAGGAGGAGCACTTGAGTTGAAAAATCCGAGGTGCACCGGAGGGGGTGATCAACAACAAATAATTATTCAGGAGTGCGAATACAACAGTCATGTTCAGATAGTTCGATATCGTCAGCTCGTGTGTCACTCATTGTGTACATCCCAAACCCTCGAGACCCGCCCTCTTCGTTTTCGATCGTTCCTCCCTTGGGGGGTATATCTTCCCTACCTGCCACGTGCAGTTGGTGCAGCCCCTAAAGCAGGAAGCGGAGGGAGATTGGAAAAGAGCATTTTTACGAGAAGAAAGCGAGTGCGGGAACGGATGGAGAAGGGAAGGGGCAAGGAGAGGAGGATGGAGCACGAGAGAGATCAGCAGGACAAAGGTTAGGGACCCAAACGGGCGGGTCGGCCGGGCGGTCCCAGACGGGCGGGTCGGGCGGGCAGGTCGTTGAAGCGTGAGGCGCGAGGGAGTCTCTAGCACAAGCGCGAATCCCACGAAAATCGTGAGGAAATCAAGAGCGAGAGCGCGATTCCTGAGCGTCGCGGGCGCGGCATTTGAACAAGCTGCGATTCGCTCGCACAGTGCAAGGAAGTCCCAAGTTGGAACGCGATTCTTCAATAAATCTGAGGAGGTATCAAGCGGGAGCTGCTGTTGTTGTGTAGCCCGAGGGCCAACAACCCAGTTTGAAGACCCACCACTTCCGCTGAGTAAGGCGCGAGCCCCAGGAAGGGCACTCCTGTTGAGAAGCATATGTGCCACCGCGAAGTGGGAATCAACAGCAATTAGTTCTTATAAATGAGAATTCAATCGCATAAAAAGTATCAACTTCATGCTGTATCCCGACCACTTCCCTGGGGCCGGCTTTTCATCCCGAGTTGTTCGCTGACAGATCCCTGGGGCCCGGCGACGTCACCCCTTGAAATTCAGAACGGCCAAAATACGTCAGTTGCTTTTTTGTTGTGCAGCGCGGGGAGGTCTGGGGGAGGAGGAGGAGGAGGAGGAGGAGGAGGAGGAGGAGGAGGAGGAGGAGGAGGAGGAGGAGGAGGGGGAGGGAGAGGAGGAGGAGGGGAAGGAGGAGGAGGAGGAGGAGAAGAAGAAGAAGGAGGAGGAGGAGGAGCAGGAGGAGATGGAGGAGATGGAGGAGACGGAGGATGAGGAGGAGTCACTGCCACTGCCCCACTGCCAGCCCTGCTACCATGATGCCACTCCCCCGCCTCACGGCGAGAGGAGGAGGAGGCGGAGGAGGAGGAGAAAGGGCGGGAGAACGGGGAGGAGGAAGAGAAGAGGAGGAGGAAGGACGGGAAGAACGAGGAGTAGGAAGGAGGTGGGAGGATTTCTTGACATCGACATCAAAGCGTTACAAACATTAGCCTCACTCAGCCCAGGGTCCGACTTTCATCGTGACACCTGGGCGCGTGGGATGACGTGTTTTGCACACAGGGCCAGTTATTATACTTGCTCGACCAAGTGGGCCAAACACAGTCAACACGTAAACCAGACACTCGTCCAAATAACGAGTAACAGTAACACCTCATGCAAATGTCCAGGGAAGCTTGGTTCGAGCAAGTCAGAGTGATACACTTGTGCCCCCTTCCTTCCAAGACACTCGCTGAGAGACCTGAGACAGGCTTACAGGGGGCGGGAGGAGGAGGAGGAGGAAGAGGAGGACCGTGAGTGGTCAACCTGCTAACTCTGCAAGGAGAGGCGCACTTCTGCCAGAAACCAGGGCCTGGCCCGAGGCGGATGCTCTGGATTGGAGCCCAAGAGCAACGTGGGCAAACACTGGCCTGAGAAACAGGCTGGCCGGCAAGCGTGGCCTTGCACATCTTGCAAGTCAAGGCGAGGCCACAACGGCAGTAACGTTGCCGGCAGAAGTACCAGGGCCCTCGACAATGTGACATCAACGTAGAGCCTTGCAATTTGCTCGTCTGAGGGCTGGGGATGCCAGAGATATGCCAGAGATGCCCTTTCCCAGCACTCGCCTTCTTAGGGCCCAGATCGACGCAGTAATGGCCAAATCGACCCATCTTATCATTAGGAGAGGTCCACTCATCGAGGGATAGGTGCGCCTTCATTTTCTGTGAAATGACCTCATGTTCCAAAACTCGGGTAGCAGAAAAAGGAGAGAGCACAAGAAAACAACCAAAACAAAATGTAGCAAAAACATGGCGGCAACGAATGCACACCCTGGCGCTCAAAATAATGTTCGACCAGCTGCGCGCTGGTTTAAACGGCAGGGAATAAAAAAAACACGGTGGCCCACTTCAGTACAAACCAGCTTGACACATTGCCGCGAACTCACCAGCAGGGGCCGTCTGAGGATAACACTTTGGCATATTCCCGTACATCCTCCCAAGGAGCTTTCCTAGGTCGCCAACAGAAACAAAACATCAGACTGCTCTACAAAGCTCGCGGACAATGTGTTCGAATACACTACCGTCTGTCAAAATGTCATTAAGCACGAATGATTCGACGTCCTTGGTGAGCCGTTCTTTGGAACGAAACGTGCCCTGAGGTTTCCGACGGGGGCCCAGGAAAATAGTTCCCAGGATTAGCAAAAGCACCGAAACGGGAACGGACCGAGTCGGGCTCTCCCAGAGCCTTCTCGATGAGTTCTTGGCTCAACCAAACTTCCCCTGAGCTCAACGTGGGGGTCGGGGTACACATCGCCAACGCCGTCGTCGTCGTTGACGATGTTGGCGGCGACGACGACAACAACGACCTTCTCGATGATGTCTGACTCAACCAGACTTCCCCTGAGCTCAACAACCTCCTGGCACCTACAGGCCCGCAAGCGGTGACGGAACGCGTTGACGGCAGCGCCGCAGAGGGGACAAATAGGGTTTAGTTGGTACTTCCGTTGGAGGGCTTCAGAACGGGTCCACGTAGCATCAGTAGCCATTGCACGAATACGTCGTCGTCGTCGTCGTTCGTCGTCCGTCGTCGTCATCGTCGTCGTCGTCGTCGATCGATCTGTCGGTGGGTGGATGGGTCGTCGACGATGTTCGAACGAGATGTATTTCTTTCGTCTAAATCCGGCCTTTGCAACATCAAAGCAGAGACGAAGAGGAACTTGCCATTTACTACCAGCATCCCAGTCCAGAATATTAAACACCGCCCCTCTGAGAAGTTGCTTAATGAGCTGCGGGGACAGCATCGTCATCGAGAGTTCCACCCCCTTGTCGGCGACGAAGGTGGCGAAATCTCTTATGGTCCAAGAGATCCTCTCCAATGACTTGCGCATGGCTTCCACTGGGCCTCCCACAGCCCTCCACGAGACAAAAGGCTTGTGAAGAATACCATCCCACGCCTGCATCAGCTCCCTGTGGTAAATTGAGCCCTCAATGGCTTTAATGTGGGTGCACCTATTTTTTTTGGCGCCAACGAAGGATCGGGGAGACCGCCCCAACCGAAGCAGAATCCCTTTAAATGTGGGGTAAAGCCGTCAGGGGGCGTTGGCCAGCTGAGGGTTTGATTGTCGTAGCTGCTACACGCCGAAGGTGAAGAAGTGCGTAGTCCGTGACTCCGCGGATCTTGTTGCCATACAGTAGATTTGGCGAAGGCTTGTCGAGAAAAGAACGCAAAACTGCCTAGAGATTGCAGCCTTCCTGAGCTTGGCCACATGGCCAGCCCTCTGAACAAACAGCCTTATTGTAACCTTGTGGTTTTGTTTCGGCCCTTAAACTTGAAGTTTTTCCCAAGCGTACCATCCACTACAAGGTTCACTGCACTTGCAGCGATGGGACCCGTCGAATCAGCTCCTAGCTCTTCGCCTGGATGGCACGCCCAAGCTTCGCTGAGGAACAAGCAAGACTTGCTTTGTCAGCCGCCGCCCGTCCACCGGTGCCGTCGACTATCGCGGAGTGGAGTTGGGGCGCCGTCTCCGTGATGGCATCCACCGCGAATTGGAAGAATTGCACCGCATTGGGACGAGAATCACCGATGTAGAGCGCGAGCTCCACGCTTGGCCTTAAAACGCTGCTATCGAACGACTCCACTGGGTGTAAGTTTACCCTGATAAGAACTAGTGGCTAGGGAACAGCCGGCAATGGTTCTAGACCGAACAAGCCGGGACCCGTCCGAACACCCATGCAAGGAAAGCAGATGAGGGGATTTGTAGGCACTGATGGCCAATTTGGCCATGCCTTGGGGGAAGTTAACACGAACGCATCGCTCCTGATGTCGATCAAGGTCGATGAGTACGCAGTACTTGAACATGTCCTGCAGCAGCGTGGCAGAGTGCGGGTCTCTAGAAAACCGCATTCGCTCCTGAGGCTTCGCTTCCAAACAACATCTGCAGCCCCCTGATACTTCGTCAAAGCGAAGTAGGGACGAGAGCTCGCCCCCATCCCAGCTGTCAGCGAGAAATCTGCGAGCTCGGCCCCAGATACGATAGGGTCCCATGAGAATCCTTATCGGGCGAAGTCCTCGCACAGGCTTGCCCAAGAGCGCCAAGACGGCCGCGTCTCACTGGGCAGGCAGCAGACTCGAGATCGACATGACCCGGAGGATCCTACAAAGCGCCAGGACCCCAGGGAGAGAGATCATATTGAAAGTGTTTCATGCGGATGCCGTCCTTTCCAACCACCGAACCATGTTCCAGAGAAGTTGATAATATCATGGGGATCCAAGGGATGGAGTTCGGAGGAAGATTCGAAATCTACGGCCTGACTATCAGCAGACTGTGACGAAGCGTCTCTCCATGAATGTGCGAAGCTGTTCCTCTTTGCGATCAGGAGGGACCTCGGGCCGCTGACCGCGCAGCCGTTAGCCGATAAGGTAGATGTTGGCTTCCACGGTAGGAGCTCTGATGTGACCATGTGCGCACGTTTGCCCTTTGGCCTATGTTCTCGCGCAGCCAGTTGCGCCATGATGTGAGACTCGCTTCCTTGTTAGACGACGCCGCATCAACAACAGGTCGAAGGTATGTTGTTCGACCTCCTCGCTGAAACGAGGGGAGAGACCTTCCACGATGGACTGCAAGGCCTCGAGCAAACTACGCTGCTGCCCCACAGTGTTTGACACAATCGAAGGAGGAGCAGACACCTACGTCCTGAGGGCCCCCAGGTTAGGGGCAGGGAAGAGGGTGGAGGTGGTCCCCATAGTGCCCCGAAGACATCCCAGGATCCTGAACACCCAAAGATTTCTTGGACTGAGCAGCATCGAACACACTGCAATCCAAGATACGAATGTAAACCCACCTGACAGAATACACCAAAGGATGTTTGGAGGCCTCACGGTCACGCATGAACACTGGCTTCCAAACAGCGGGCCCCCAAAACATGGGCAAAAAAGTTTGAGTGGCCTCCGCCACCTCGCACTCGGCCGTGTTGGCCCACCACTAGCAAGCACGATTAAGAAATAGTTGAGCCTCCTTACCCATGCCAGCACGCGCAATCTCTGGAGCCAAATCCAGAACTTCAAGAATAGGGTCCCAGGACGGGGTTTTCGAACTGGCCCACCCGCCAACTCAGACTGAAGAGGGGAAGGGCTTCTAAACTCAAGGACTTTGAGGTGGACAGTGAGGGAAAACCACAGGAGAGTGGGGGGCACGCAGGGAATTATGATTAAGCGTGACCTGTTTGACAATTTTGGCGATGCCAGGCGACACAATGAAAAAGTCCAAGACTTTGATGCCACCAGTGTTGGGGAGCGTGTAACCTCCATATCTCGGTGTGATCACCTGACCTCTGAACTCAGAGACGAACTGACTCTGCTGCAAGGTGCCTGGCGTCGTGTTGAAGCCTCGCCCCAGTATCAATGGAAGGTCCAAGTGAGATAGGCCGGCACCTACCTGCGAGAGGAATTCCACGCCCCGCTCTGAGAGGCCCTCCGCGTCGTGGATGCTAGGCTGCAAACCGAACAAGCTAGCATCTGAAATCCTCCAGAGATATCCACGACACAAGCGCCCACACGACGAGGTGCAAAAGTGAATCCTGTTGAGAAAGAGTGTACAGTCCAGGATGAGATCTGACCAGAACCGCCACTCCTCCAGGCGACCCGTGCCCCTCCCTTCGAGCAGCCGCCGCCCAGCACGGCCTCCACCCACGCCGACAGAGCCAACGAGACGCCCTGGAGATGTCCTCTTCTGGAGATCTCCTGGTTACTCCAGATTTCGTAATAAAAGGGAGGGGGTCTGGACCCTCCAAGACAAGCCATTTCAGACCCCCCCCCCGTGGGAGAACCCTCCAAAACATCGTCCCCAGACCCCCCCAGGCCCTCCAAGATAGATTGGAAGAGACCCCCCCCGAATCCAGACCCCCTCCCTTTTATTACGAAATCTGGAGTAAGTAAAATCTGGGCCTGGGCCTTCGGCCGCCGCTTTTCCTTGAGAGGCGGCCATCCAGAAGCACTGCATGTCTGAACCCGCAGGGAGAAGACCTCCGGAGCAGGGGCAGGCGGCGGAGCACAGCGAGCTTCCACGGCTGCGCTGGCCGACACGTCCTGGCTTGAAAAAGGTGCTGGCGCATGGGGTACATAGCACGGCTGGAAGGTTATGCAACGACGAGGAGGAGGCGGAGGAGGAGGAGGAGGAGGCGGAGGAGGCTCGCGAGGAAGTCGTCGTGGTCGTCGTCGTCGTGGTCGTGGTCGTCGTGACTACCGTCGTGCGCGTCGTCCTGCGCGGCAGGCCCTCCGCTTCTGCGCGAGGCAGCTTCGCAGGTCGCACTTCTTCCGGCTCCGCACGGTCAGGGTGCTTCCGCTGCCCGCTTGGAGGCGAGAGGGGGGTTGGGAGCCGCATCCTCCCCAGACTTCCTCTTCTTCCTCCTCCTCAACCTCGTCCTCGTCCTTCTCCTCCTCTCTCCCTGGTGCGCCCGCGCGCCAGCCACGAGGCCTTCTCCTTCTCCTCCTCCTCCTCCTCCTCCTCCTCCTCCTCCTCCTCCTCCTCCTCCTCCTCCTCCTCCTCCTCCTCCTCCTCCTCCTCCTCCTCCTCCTCCTCCTCCTCTTCCTCTCGCCAAGAGGCGGGGGGCTGGCATCATGGCAGCGGGTCTGACAGCGGGGCAGTGGGAGTGATTACTCCTCCTCTTCCTCCTCCGCCGCCTCCTCCTCCTCCACATGTTCCTCGCTTTGTGGAACCAAACGGTGGAAGGTTGTTGGCCGATTGCAGCTTCCGCGGGCCCTCGCCTGGCCCAGGGGCGGTCAGAAAACAACTCGGAGTGCAAGCGGAAGGGGTCGAGATCTCCAGGGGGTACACGCTGTGAAAACAAAGAAACAACAACAACAACAACAACAACAACAACAACAACAACAACAACAACAACAACAACAACAACAACAACAACAACAGCAACGACAACAACGACAACAACAATAGCAATAGGAACAGCAACAGCAACATCAACAACAACTATAACTACAACAACAATATCAATACCAACAACAACACACACAGAAAAAAAAACAAAAAAAAAACAACAAAAAAAAAAAAAAAAAAAAAAAAAACGTCAAAAAAAACACAAACACTAAAACATAAACATATAACAACAAAATTGTAGGGGAACACGATATACAAATATATATATATATATATATATATATATATATATATATATATATGTGAATGCATATATGTATAACATAAATAAGAAAGAAATATAAAAAAAAGAACCTAAGAAAAATAAATACGGGAAAAAAGGAAACATAAAAAAACATAAAAAACAGACCAAATAACAAAAAAAAAAAAAACGACGGTGGAGATCTGGGTCCTCCTCCTTCCCCTCCTTCTCGTCCTCCTCCTCACAGCCCGCGCGAGAGGGGCCGACGTGCCGCCGTCGCCTCGGCGCCGCGCCCCGCAGCTCAGAGAGCTGCGCTCCCGCGGGAGCGCGGCGCACACCCTTCGCACGCGGCTTCGCCGACGCGCGAGCGGGCGAAGACGTCGCCCTTGCCCCGGGCGCCGCGCAGAGCTCGCCCGAAGGTGGCGTTGCCGCCCCAGCGGGGCGCGGATGTGTCACTCGCCAGTGTCGGGAGGGGGGGGACCCTCGCGAAGGGGCGACTCGTCGCCCTCGCCCGGGCTCCGTGACCAGGTCGCCCGGAAGTGGCGTCCCGCGCGGGCGCGGCGCATGGTTCGCTCGCCGAAGAGCGCAGGAAAGCGGCAGCGGCGGCGGGGCCGCGCGAGGGCGGGCGAAGTGGCGGCCCGGCCCAAGCGCCACGACGCTTGTTCGGGAAGCGGCAGTGCAGTGCCCGCGCCGCGCACGCTTCGCGTCCGCCGCGCCCGCCGAAGGGTTTGCCGCCCCCGCCCCTGCGTGGCCCGCGCAGCTTGCCCTCTGCCAAGACGTCGGCAGCGGGGCCGCGCGCGAGTGCCTTCCGTTTCCGAGGGGGGAACGCGCTCCAATCCCGAGGTCAGTGTGTGCCACATCTGTTTTTGGTTGCCGGAGGGAGGGTGGTCATGGGCGGGGCCCTTTGGCTCGCTCGTCCCGGCGAATTTGGCTCCTGCTCCCCCCTCCCTCCCTCCCTCCCTCCCTCCCTCCCTCCTCTCTCCTTCTCCTGGTCCTCTCGCCATGGAGCGGGACAGAAGTTGCGGCACGTGACACCGCCGAGCGCTCACTCCGAAGTGCGCTCGCTGGTGGGCTGGACCCGTTGGCAACGGGGCAGGCCCTGGATTGTCGCCACGATACAGACGGACCTTGAGGGAGACAGGCTCCCGGGGCCCACCTCGGGCCCCAGGACCGTCAAAACGCGACTCAGGATGAAGGGCTGGTCCCGGGGCAGGCCCCTGGGTCCAGGGCTCATGTACCCCAGCCACTCCGCTCCTCCTGGTGTCCTGGCAGCCGGGGCCAGTGACCGATTGTGCCGCGGTGCCCTGCCTCTCCGAGGGCCAGCTGGACAGGGCTGACGGTAACGCGCTTGAGCGCGAGCGTTCCTTGCGCTTGCCGCACAGAGACCCCGTCCTTCAGAGCGCCACGCGAAGCCGAAGCCGAAGCCGACCCCTCCGAGGTGACCAACGCCGCCCGAGACGGCGGAGAGGAGAGTTCGCTCTTGTTCGGGAAAAAAACTTCTCAGGATGACCAGCGTCGCTACCATCGGGAGGAATGGTCGGGTGTTGCTAGAAGTACCCCTGGCCCCAGGTACCCCCGGGGATTCTCGGGGTGGCACAGGCGGCCTCCAGGGCACCCCTCGCGAGGCCCAGAGGACCCCAGGGGGCTCCAAAATGGACCGAAAAGCTGGGGGCACCTTGGGCCAGGGGCACTTCTAGCAACGCCCGAAATGGGACGGGGGGGCAGGAAGGGTTCAGTCGGGCGTGTCCCCCTACAGGGGGAATTTCGACGAAAAATAAAAAAATACCCTTCAAAAAAGCCACAAAATGTTCGAAAAATACTCCCCTGACTGTTTTTCGATTATGTTTCGATTATTTTCTGGGTATTTCTTTTTCTTCGTCGAAAATCTCCCTGTGGGGCGACAGGCCCGACTTCAAGGAATGGCGCTTCCGCCCTGCCGTCTGCCGCCGGACGGGCGGCTGCCGGTGGCCTCCCCCGGCGCACTCGACGGACTCTGCCCGCGCAGGCCGTGGGCTCCGCCTCTGCGGGCTCCACCTCGGGAGCCCGCGCGTCACCGCCTGCGTCCAGGGCCGGAGGCAGCGCTGGGGGGTATTGGGCTCAAGGGTGAAGTCGGGCATGTGCCCTCACAGGGGGATTTTCGACGAAAAATAAGAAGTGCCCCCAAAGTAGTGCAAAAATAGTCCGGGTTTTTTTTTTTGACTATCTTCTGACCTGTTTGGGGTATTCTTTGGGGTATTTTTCATTGTTCGTCGAAAATCTCCTTGTAGGGGGACAGGCCCGACATAACTCAAGGGGGGAGGGGATGCATCGACCTCCAATCGCCCACTCCTCGTTCCCCATAGTCAGGCGGTCGCAAACATGGACTGAGGGGGCGTGGATTGGCGGCGGGTCCCGTTTCTATGGGAAGTCGCAGATTTCCGCCGTCGAACGAGGCGCCGCGGTGTGATGCCGAGATTCCAGCTCGACGTTTCCCCACACCCCGAGCTGGTCCCTCCCTGTCGTCGACCCTCACAGGGGGCAGCGCGCCCGAGCTCCTCATCTCTGCGCTGCCCGCCCCGCAGCGCCCTTGCCGTTGGCGCACCTGCCCGCCACGGGCAGCGCGCCGATGGGCACCGATCGACCGGGCAGTCCGATGGCGCGGCCGCCCAAGGTCGCTCGTCGCCGTTCGTATCGGGGGGCTGGTCCCGACACAGAGATCTGAGCCAAAATGGCTACGGAGGACGGGGGGGCGGGGACGGGGAAAGCGACGGGGAGGGGGACGGGTACGGGGAGGAGGAGGAGGAGGAGGAGGAGGAGGAGGAGGAGGAGGAGGAGGAGGAGGAGGAGGGGGACCAGGGCCGGGAGGTTGCGGCCGACGTGCTCACACGCACGCCATCGCTGCCTCCTCCTTCTCCTCATCCCCCCAGCTTGTCAGGGGAGCCGGGCCTGAGCGGCGAGGTTGTGGAGACGTGCCGGGAATTCGCAAAGGGAGGGTTATCCCAAGGTGGGGCTGGGGAGCGGGCCCAGGTGGATGTTCTGGTTTCACGCGTTTCCTTCTTCCAGGGGCCGTTCGGAACGATCTTCCTTCCAACCCCACCTTTGCCCCAACCCCACCTTTGTGCCCCCCCGAATGTGCTGACACCCGCCAGCCATGCTGACCCACTTTACTTCCAGTAGTAAGGTGCACACTTCTTGACCCCTATGGATTGCCCCCCCGTTTACGAACCCCTCCCGCGCGGACACGCAGCGGCCGTCGGCTGCAGCCCAGGATTGGGTCAGGGCGGTCGCGGGCGACCGGAGCAGGACCCAGGGGAAGCTGTGAGGGGCTGTCAGAGCTGGGGGCCAGGGCGCAAGTCGGCCTGAGGTGTTGAGAGCGACTGCTGGCTTGAGGGGCCTTCTGCCCTGTCCGCGCATGTCTCCGCAGCCGCCGCACATGGCGCGCCGTTCCCTCATGCAGTTGTGCCCGCGGGGGCTCCAGGCTGTAGTGGACCTTACGAGGGCCCCGGCGACTCGCAAGCAGCGTGCATCTCAAGATGTTGGCCCGAAAGATCTCATCCTTCAGCCGCCGTTCATTCAGGAGGGGAAAAAACACACAGACACTATGAATTGTCGACTCCCCAGGAAATATCGGAAGATATGGGAAGTGGGGGGAAGACGAAAATCCCAAAAATATTGGAAATATAGGGAATCCAGTTATTTGTGTGTCTTTATTTGTGTGTCCTTGGGCCCCTTCCTTCCTGCATGACTGCGGCTCGCAAGTGCGCCCGCGGGGGAGGCTGTGCAGCTCCGCCGCGGCCTGCTGACCGGACGCGGGCCTCGGCGGTGCCCTCCTCGCCGGTTTCCGCGCGAGAGCCGCTCGGCACGCCCGCGCTTTGCAGCACGCCGCCCCATCCTCTCCTCGAGCCTGGGATTACGTCGGGCCTGTCCCTCTACAGGGGGGATATTCATGAGTAGTCAAAAAATAGTCGGGGGACGATGTTTGAAGTATGTTTGAGCACTCTGGAGCATTTTTGGGGGTATCTTTTATTGCTCGTCCAGAATCCGCCCGTAGGGGGGGCATGCCCGACCTGAGCCTGGGAGCTTGAGCGTTCGGCATCGTTCAGGGGCAGCGTCAGGGGGATGGGCTCAGGAGTGAACGCGTCGACCTCCAAACGCCCTTTCATCGCCGATGGGGCCCGATAGCCATCGATAGCCCACGCAGCCCAGGAACGTCTGGATTCGCCAGCGGGGGCCGATCGCCGATCTATCGGCGATGTATCGCCGATTACAGGTCGGTGTTTCGGCCCCTGATCTGGTCGCCCTCTATCGTTGCCCATTCCTCGTGCGAGGAGCTGCGGGGGCCGATCGCAGTCGTTGAACGAGCGCCCTGGAGCAGACGCGGCAGAGGCGAATTCGCCACGAAAAAGAAAGGGGTCTTGGAGGAAAGCCGTCATCGAGTCCTCCCCTCGTTCTCGAGCTTCCAGGGCCTTTTTCGGGGCCCCGGGAGCATCACAGATCGTTTCGGGGAGAAGAGTTGGTCCTTGGGCTCCTTCTTCTCCTCCTCCTCCTCCTCGTCCCTCTCCCTCCCTCGACGCCCAGGTCGCAAACCTCGCCTCCCACAAATCGCCAACTGGCCTCCCCGCCCGCCCTCGTCCCCCTTCCCGTCCTCCTCCTCCTCCTCCTCCTACCCGCGCACTGTCTCAAGAGAGCCGTGGGACACGAGGCCCAGCGAGTCTGTGCTCCTCTCGGGGCGGGCAGGGACAGCGGGCCGCTCAGCAGCGTGCTCGGGAGGTCTGCTCGAGGCCGGAAGGCTCGAGGGCGCTCGGGAGAGAGAGCCACGACGAGTTGAGCCGCAGCACGAGGCGTGGGGGCATGAGAAGTTTCCACACAGAGCACGGGGAGGCCACGCTGAGAAGCTCGATCGCCCCCCTGGAATGCGAAGATAATCGCGCGTCGCGCGTCGCGCGGTGGGTGGAGAGCTGGCCTTCTTCATTGGGCGGCCCCTGGGCGCGAAGATGATTTGACGCGCATCGCGGGGCGCGAGGCGCGAAGTTAGCTGAGGTCGGAGAATGGGGCACGCATGGAATCGACTGACACGGGCGATTTCCCCTGATGACTGACAACAGTTTTCTCTGTTTGAGCCATGTTGTGCTCAGACACGCTTCGATTTGGCTTGTAGGCTCCTGAAAGTCAGAATTCTGTAGGTCCCATTGGCTTCACAGCTTCAGGCCCGCAAGGAGTTGCCGAGAGGATTTTCCTTTGTAGGCGACTCTCAATCCCAGCCCAGTACTGGGTGACGGACATCTGTCGCGCGGTCCAGTTTGCGCTGTACATTCGCTCTTGCTTGTTTTAAGCGTACTGCAAATTCTATTGAAATGTGCCATGGCATTTCGGCATATGGCCGACATGATTTGGCATAGCTTCGCAGAACAAGCCAACTTGTGCTTGCAACTTTCGTTGCCCAGGACTGGCGCGCGCGCGCTAATACACGAATGCCCCTTGCTTTTAAAGTGCATTTTAAGTTTTCTGCTGGCCATGGCCATCAGACGGTCTGACGTAGCAGGTGCCGACATCTGCCAGCGAGGGTAAACTAGCATGTGGACCAGAAGAGCAGCAAAATGAGGAGCCGTTGGCGACGATGCTCTCTTGCTCCGGGCCTCTTGAGAGTCTCTCGTCACTGGGCCAGGGCCAAGGTTTCCTCTGGCTGAGTAGGGAGGAGAAGGACGATGATTGAGTGGGAGGAGGAAGAAGAGGGGTGGGAAGGAGGAGGAGGAGGAGGAGGAGGAGGAGGAGTCATTGTTGAAGTCAGCAGATGACGACCGTTTGGCCGCCAAGTCCGATGTCGGTTCGCGCCGCGTCTGCGCAAGTCGGAGCTGCCCCTCGCCGGTGCCTGTGCAGGGTGGGCGTCTGCGGTGCGGCGGCAGCGGCTCTGCGCGCCCGCTGGTTTCGGCAAGTTGTGCGACATGTGATTCTCGTCGACGAGGGGATCAAAACCACAAGAGCAGCCACCACGCGCACGAGGCCCGAGGCACGAAATTCCACATCGAGCCCACGAGAAGTTCGAGGTCCACCTGCACGGTGGGAGGAGCACTTCCAGGGAGTCGTTCGGCGGGCGTTTTCATGCACGGCAAGCGTATGCGCTGCTACATGCGTTTTTTTTTTTCTGCAGCCCCCAAGTACTTATCGAAGTTGCGATCTGTTGTGGGCATCACATCGTGCTCGATCATTTATGTTCGATGTGTCGTTGGTTGCACTATCGATGCTCACTTCGCGAAGTAACTGTTTACGTGGGTGCTATTTGTTCTGTGTGCCGCCTCCTCCATCATCACATACACGGGCCGATGTTGTCGGCATCAATCCGAGCACCGAGACACGGTCGATGTCTGGTCAGATTACATCCTTGCGGACGTATTATTGTTCATTGGTCGCATGTGTTTTTCTTAAGCCACCCCGGTGCTGGTGGCAACGGATGGAGGCGTTGTTCGTTGCCGAGGCGCGTGACGATGAAACGGCACACGCGGACGAAATGGTCAGCCCTGCTCCTGTTGGTGCGCCGCGCAAGCCTTGGTTGCGTGTCTGATGGCTACCTTGTGAAAGGGGCGAGGGGAAAAAGGGAGGGGAAGGCGGAAGGGGGTGGAGTGAAAGGCAGGAGGAGCAGCAGGGGGAGAAGGAGCAGGAGGACGAGGAGCAAGGGAAGGGTGGGGACAGGCAGGGGCAGGAGAAGAAGTAAGAGGATGAGGATCAGAGGACAGCTTTCGACAACCGCCGTCGCTTCCAGGCCATGCCAAGCCAATCCAACCACCAGCTTTTCTGCGTACGCTCTGCCGACGAGCGGTTTCTTTTGTTATCGACTGGTAGCAGGTGTGCCCCAGAGGTGCGCGTTTTCACCGCCTAAGGAGGGAAGGAGGAGGGGAGGAGGGAGGAGGAGGAGGAGGAGGAGGCGATTGGGAGGACGCCAGTGGGGCATTGTTGTGCGCGTGCTGATGTACTGGGCCCGAATGGCGGAACTCGTAGGCAAAGCTTGCAAGTGAGATGAGCAAAACAGCTTGGTGCACGGGCGCGATGCGGGCCTCGCTTGGCTAGGTTCCCGTGGGGCCGATTTGGTAAGCAATGTTGGGCCAGGAGGGGAGGGGCAATGAGAGAAAGGGAGATGGTCCTGAGCGGCCCAGTAGCCAAATTTGCGCGAGGGCATCAGCCGCTACGGCGAGCGGCACTTTAATTCCTATTGCCCGTGCATCAGTGTCTAGGCGGCAGTTGTCAATCCGCTGGTTTGCAGAGAAGGGGGGAAATAACTTACAACATGGTCATAGGAAGGGAAAGATATGGAGCACAGGGGTGTAAAAGAGGTGTTGGTATGGTTGTGCATGACAATTAAATTGAGATAGTCGTTGCTGCACGAATGGCTTGGCCGTGGTACAGGGCTTGAGTGACATGTGTTTCAACCGCAGTCCCAAATGGCAGAGGCGCGCCCAAAACGTAGAACGGTGGTCTGAGTAAGCGTTGTTTCGAGCGCGCCCCGTGCGTAAGACCATTTCAGCACGCATCTCGGGCAGTGTTGCGGTGGTTCGGTTAACCCAGACCCTCGCGTAAGAGACAAGCCAGTAGATAGTGGCGGGTCGACACTCGTCTGCTGCGCGAGTACCCGTTGCCTCGTGACAGTGCTGGTGTTTGGTGGAACCTGGAGGGCAGTGCACATACACAATGTTCTGGAACAGTGAGTGGTATTGGTACTCCGAGGAGGGTCGCCGTTACATCGAGACTCACGTTTCGGGAACGCTTGCAGCGACGATCCCTCGGCGTGTTCAGACCTAGTGTCCGAGTGCTAATGAGTCATTTTCTGGAAGGCCGCTTCGCAGAGATTCGTCGTTCATGGCATTGAGGACGTAGCCCTTGAAGGAATCTGAGCGTACGCAACGAGGCGCCAAGGGGGATCTACACTCGAGCCCTCGTCCACTAGGGAGGAGGGGGAGGAGGAGGAAGGAAGGGGCAGATTCAACCCAAGATGCATCAACGGTGCTATGCTGCAATACGCCCACCCGTCCAACGCCCTGTCACAACCCACTGCAGAAGATCATTGCATGAAATGCCCCCCCGTGAAAGACGAGCGCTCCAGCGTCCTGCACTTTGGACGAGAGCCCCGTTTTGAGAAGGAGTTGCCACCCGTGCTTCTATAAACGCACATGTGTGTACACACACAGACACGTTCAAGGCATAAGAATGGCCACGGGGAGGATTGCAAAGTCCGAGGGAGTGTCCAGCGAAGGCCCCGCTTTCAAAAAGAACTACCCTCATGCCGCGCACAGGTCCCCAAGCTTGAACCGTATGGTCATACAGCCTGATGATGTGTGAAGCGAGGATGCCGAGTTGAAAAGGTACAGCGCTCCATCCGCGCAGTTGTTGCACGAGTGAAGACGGCTGCTCTCACAAGGGTAGGGATGTCTCCGACGAAAACCGGGTGCTGAAACGGAACCCTTCTCCATCCATGTAGGCGTTGGAAACGTTTAAGACGAATGTGCGCAGCGTTAAGGCGAGGATCGCGTGACTGCTGGACGCATGTACGACGAATGTGCGAGGCACTGGGGCGAGAACCACACGATGGACAGCAGTCGCACTCCATCAATTCAACAACGCTTGGAACTTTTAAGACAAATGTGTGCGGTGCTACTGCGAGAGCCACAGTTTTAAAACCACTTGTGCTCCGTGCAACTGGTGGAATATATTTGGGACGATTGCGCGTGGCGCTAAGGCGAGAGCCACCTTTAAAACACAACGGCAAAACGAACCAACATCAAAGCACACAAACAACACAATGCCCTTTCCATCCGTGCAAATGCTGGGAAGTGTTAGGACGAATGTGCGCGGCGATGCGGCGAGAGCCACATATTGAAAACGAGCTGTGCTCTATCCGTGTAATTGCTGGAGCTATTAAAGACGAGTGCGAGCGGCGCTGAGGCGAGAGCCACAATTTGAAAACGACATGAGCTCCATCCGCGTACATGTTGGATTTATTTAAAGACGTCGCGAGGCGGTGAGGCGAAAGCTCCATGCTGAAAACCATCATCCCATCCCTCACATGAAAGCTGGAAGTGCGGGCCGAATCCGAAAGTGCGGGCCGCAGCCTCGGGACACACATTCTGCCTCCGCCGGCCTTCCCCGGGTGGGAGTCGCGCCCCCGTTCTGCTCCCGCTGGTCTCCCGCCACCCTCCGCCGAAAAAGGGGATGTCGCCCCCCCTCGGCCCCACGCGGGCGGGGCCCCTTCCTGGAGCGCCCTTGCGCGTTCTCCGCCCATCGCCTCCACACACGCGGCGGGC